TGAGTCGTTTGATGTTTTCTTTTACACTGTTATTGCCAAACCTAGCCTTGGAGGGTACAGAAGCTCCGTAACATTTTATTGGCCTATGAACTGGACCAAGATGAGTACTGCCATGAAATGTAATTTACTAGTTTAAACATTACATATATACACAGCAGCACAAATATTGAAGTGAGAAAAAACTCTGTAGCAATCAGAATTAAAGTGCAGTTTATTTCCCTCACCTTTTGAATGACCCCAAGTACTGAGAAAAAATACATGTATGGCTTTCATCTTGGGATACAATACAATCTCAGTCCTTAGCCTCGTCCTCTGTGCCCTCCCAGGAAATGTTTGGAAGTCTGTGTGACTGTGTGCGTAAGGCAGTCTGTGTGCGCAGCACGGTGTCCACCTGGAGAAGACTGGAGACACACTGCAGCACGGCCAGAAGCAGCTGGTATTTACAGGAGACAGATTCAAGGCCTAAGTCCAACATAAAAACTTTTGATGACACATCAGCCTCTCTACAACAATGCATGCTTTGTTTACCATCGTCTGGAGAACGTTCACTTCTACCCCAACCTTGTATGAGGATTGTGTTGTGTTCTTGTTTCTGTACGAGGCTGAAAGGGTGGGAATGATTTTCAATAAAATTCAGGAGCCTGGTTTGAGTCTGCAGGAAACATCGCGGACTATGGGAGTAAATCTGTCGGGGCAGGCTCAGCAGAACGTTTGCCAAGAGCTGTGAAGCAGCAGGGATACCCATATTTGTGTCATCAGAAACTGAGCAACTGTGGCCATGATGTTGTAGGAGGGCATGGTTTAAGAGAAACTCAAATGTCCCACCAGCAGGTATAACACAGCCTGGTTCCAACACATACTTCTGGACGGGAGGCACACTGGCGATCTGATTCTCCATTTCCAAAGATGTGTTTTTGTTTGACTCTAAGGTCCTCCTTGATGCTGTGGTTGCAGTCATAACCATGGGCTCCAAAGTTAAACGTAGCATGCGAATGGCATCTCGAAATGCACATGCATACTGGTCAGTTTGCCCTTCCCCTGGACCGCAAATGACCAGACTACAGGGTTTGACCTGGACCCTTTCCTCTGAATCATGGAAAGCCACATGGACATACCTGTGGGAGAGAAAAAAAGACAGTTCCATGAGTCAAACCAGATGAAGAAAACACCAGTATTTAAAGCCCTGTGGATTACAGGCGTGTGTAATGCACAGGTAGTTTGTTGTACGCATAATATGGGTGAGAAAGAAAGACATACCTATGGGCGCCCAGCAGTATTGGTCGGCAAAAGGTCAGAGTAGCAACGTGGTCTGGTTCAATCATCCAGCAGTCTGAGGCAGGTCTGGCCCCACTTAGCTGTGCAAAGAGAGACAGCTCATCCTCACTGACACACTCCACAACGCACATGTCAGCCTGGGTAGCTAAAGCCAGGACAGCAGCAGACTGTTTAACTGCAGACAGGAGCACAGAGACACCCAAACTCTGCAGGTTTGCAATGACACACTCTAGTGACCTTTCTGCCCAGGCGCTAAACTGCACAACGCTTCTCTCCTTCCCTTGCTCTCCATATCCCAGCTCCAGCACTTCTCCCGCACTGAGCAATTGTGGCTGCAGGTACCCAGTGAAAACTACAGCTTTAACTGGCTGGTGGTCAGTCTGAGGGCAAGGTGTAGCAAAGTCCCTGTGAATTACCTGCCCCTCAATCAAACGTGAACAACTAACAGGGAAGCCTGACACGGGTGTATGCAAGGCTGGCAGGTTGTCATTTACAAACACAAAAAGTGTGAAGGGAGGTTGGTTATTTTTAAACTTCCAGCGAGAGAGCAGTTCACAGGTGAGGTTGCTAATAAAGTCACAGTGGGTGCGACCCAGACGTGAAAGAAAAAATGATGCCAGCAGCTTTTGAACGCAGTTATTGTTTGTGTGAGCTGGTAATTGTGTTTTTGCAGTGAAATCCTCCCACGAAATACAGAATCCATACGGGACCACTCCCATAGCAATGACGTCAGCAAGCTCCTCCAATGCAAAAGCCAGCAGTTTGTCAGCCAAGTGCCTGGCAGTGGCAGCCTCTGCTGCTTTCCTGGAGTTATAGGCGTGAGACACATTAGGTCCCTTGCAGGCCGCTGTATGAATCATCCGTAGTAATGACGCCAGCAGTAGGATAAAGGTCTTGGATCCATCGCCTGTTACAGAGCTGTGTTTCAAGACACACTCCACCACCATCCTAAAATGAAAAACACACAAACACATTAAAAGAGAAAATGTGACTTGACAAAGAAGAATATCCCAGTGAAACCAGTTAGTGATTCTGTGTTACCTGGCCAGTGGATGGTCCAGGCGTAGTGCTGTGAGGATGTGCGTCCCACTGCGACTCAACATCGCCTGTCCTGTGTCTCGGATGAACAGCACCTGTCCTCCTTCGGGGCCAAAACTGCGGAGGACGACTGACTCCAACGCGGACACGGTCTGCAGAACATGTTCCAGGTGAAGATGCTCCACCGGCAGCATCTCCACACCCTCGAGGGCACACAGGCTGAGCTTTAAAAGAGGATAGGCAACTGCAAAAAACAAATATTTTATACACAAGGAACAAACCCAGAATGTTTAATATGATATTGACTCACTGTTTTGATTTAGTGTCCAAATATAGGTTTTTGGCTCGCTATGAAAAACAACAGAAGGGAAAACCGGAGAGGTGTTCAAATATTATTGGCTCAAAGTGGGTATGAAGGAATATCATTTATGCACCAGAGTTGTACGTTACCATCATTTGGCAGGTGTGTGTGGATCTTTGCTTACATTTCAGGAGCCATGTTCTCAGTTTTAAATGTTAATGAATTACTACTGTGTCAAAACAGCCTGACTTTAAACAGCAAGTTAACAGAATGAGCATTTATTACTCACAATAAATATTTCCACAGTAAAATATAAATCCACTCTATACTACCTAAACAGTGATTTATAATTTTCATCACACTGTAATATATTATTTAGTATAGTATTTGTATTAGACACATTCTATGTACACTATATAACTAATGTATTGCATGCACAAACGCAATGTAAGATATTTATATGTAAGCGCGCTATATAATTACATCTTTCAAGTATTTTCTGATGAACAATGTCAGATTTGATTTTATGTTAGCTTCAAATCTGCGAATAAGTGCTGCGGTACACAGTATATATAGACTTTACATTCATTTGCATATTAAACATCTTATATATACTCGACTACTCTCGAACTCCATTCTCATTAGTTACTGTAACGTCAGCCAAGTTACGTAATTACGTACGTAACTTACATACCGTTAGCATCTCCTAGCTACGTAGTTAGCTGAGCCGATTCAACTCGTCTCCGCTGAACTTATTTTTTTTATAAACGTATGCAATTACGTTAAAAAAAAAGCACCAATAATTAGCTGCCCAGAAAGAAAAATAACACACAGAAAACGAGCCATTCCTTCCCAAGAAGCTGCTTTAATCTCATGGAAACTCACTATCAGTGGGTCCTAGAGACGAGGCTTCTTCTGTGTTTGTTGGGTAGATTGGTTTAGATCAGAGATGACTATTGCCACCTAGCGTTTAGAGGAGGAGTTGTTTTTCTACCCCCACAGTAAACCCAAAAACACTGTTGAACATTGTTTATACTGCACGAGTAACTGTGCAGGGATTTTTCTTTCTTTTCTGAGCATACCATTTTTCTTTTTTACATGCATGTGTGAAAGTATTACATATTTATTATTATTATTATGATTATTATGGTGATTATTATAATGATTATGTGCTTACTGAATGTGCTCAAGTTTGTCTGTGGGACATGATATAACCTTTCACAATCTCCCTGCCTTTACACGGTTAATAATAGTGATTGTAGGTGTAGAAAAATACATTTGCAGCACAACAGGTCTTTTTCATCAAGTCATTGTGAAAGTACAGATGTGAAAAATAAAATGAATTCCATTTTAGATAATCTGTCACTAAGCACATGTGCTATGGTATGCTTACTGCAAATGAAAACCAGTTTCTTGTTTGTAAATTCCTGTATCTTCATCTGTAGTTCAGAGCTAATAACCACACCAGATTTTTAATAATATTTTGTAACTGTTTAAATTGTTTTCTGGTTGATGACTCCTTTGTTTGTCTTTCTGTGATGTTGTATATATGTGAATTATTCTTGCCTTGCTTGTCTAAATGAGACTTCCTCTATAAATCTATAAAACTTAATTTAAAAAAAGAAGGATTTCTGTCACGTCAACTCAAGATTCCAACACGGGCTTGAGTCAGCTGGCTTCAAGACTGTGTAATCAAATAGTTTAAAGGAAAATAATAAAAAATTGTAATAAGCAAAATAAACACATATAAATTTCTATATGTCACAGACAGAGGTTATGTCGAGCTCCCTCTTCCCCGCCCATCCCCCTACCTCCTCTCATCCCTCCTTCTGTACAGTATCTGGTACCTCAAGGTGAACGGGGCGGGGCCGGAACTTGATCTCGGTGGTGCTGCAGAAACCACATCCTAAGTTTCTAAATCAGGAAACATCATCTATACATAGACAGTATGAGACAGTTCTGCAGCTACTGCCAGATGTACGGATGCACACACACCACCGGAGCTGTCCACCCTGAATGTAAATGCCCTCTATTGCTGAACTCTCACTATGCTAACGAGCCTTTAAAAAGCCATGTCACTTCACTAATGAATATGCATCAGTGGCCCGGTGAGGGTGACCTGTAAGGATGGGACAGAGGTCACAAGAGGTGGGGCGTTAGAAATAAGCACCAGCGTTCCCATGAGACCTGAATGGACAGAAAAGAACACATTCACCCAAACACATAACACAAACACATACACACAGAGGGAAGCAACACAAGATGGTCGAGCTGCAATGCCACCTATCCCAACCTCAACCCTATCTTGTCCTCCCCTCTCTCTCTCTCTCTCTCTCTCTCTCTTGATCCAGCACTCACACACCTGCACTCTTCTTCTTGATGTCTAAGAACTGGTCAGACACAAATACTGTCTTACCTCACTATTTTCCTCTGCGTCTCCTGCCCTCTCTGGTTCTCTCATCTATTTTTCTCCTCCACCTATATCTAACGAAAAGGAGTACCTGTGAGTCTGAACATTGCTGCTGGGACGACTGAATACAGGTACGTCTCTGGTTTATTTTTGTTTATTTTCGACTTCTTTCTTCATTTAAAAGCACTTTGATTTATATCTCTCTCGACTGTGCAAAGTGAATCGTAACTCATCTTGTGGGTCAACTCATCTTGGGTAATTTATTAGTTTGAAACTCTAGTTTCTTATTCTATTTGTATTTTCTTTCACTTTTATTTAAAGATTCTCCGCCTTTGAAGAAAATTTCCGAAAAAAAAAAGCCAGATTTTTTTCTTACACTTGTTAGAGCTTTCATCTTGTGGTGATACTATATTTCATATGCTGTAATGAATTTGCCACCTTGTAAGATCGGGGGTAAAAAGAGTTTTGGCTGCTGAAGTTGTGGGACCATACGGTGTGAATACTGAGTACTTCATTGTCTTAATTACACTTTCACAAAAGCACATCATAATCAGAAATATTGCTTAAATTATATGTGTATGTATGTGTATACACACACACACACACACACACACACAAACATATATATATATATATATATATATATACACATGCTGTTTTGTTTGCCATCACTACCTGTTCATTTAGATGTACCTTGAATTTATCTGTTTGCAGCTGTTATTGTATCAGTAGTGGCTTCTGTTTGTCTTTTCAGGGGAAAAATGGTGAAAAAGCAGATACAAACTGAGATCAGTGTTCACTTGGGTGTGAGATCACATTTGCTGACTCAACCCCAGGATACTCAATATCTGTGATGTCTGCAGAATAGAAAATAACATATCAAAACGTGGGAGTCAAATCTTGGCAGTGGGACCTTTCTCTCATATGCATTGTTAACCTGCACTGAGCTTGACCTTGGCGATTCTCACCTCTGGCAGCTCACTGTGGAACAGCAGTGGTCCACGCGTGACGCTTCAACATAACCTCTCCCCTTCCTCTACTTCGTTCCTCTCCCCATCCATGTCAGCAGGTTTGGCAGACACAGCGGCTTGCATATCCTGTGTTCAAGTGTTAGTGCCAGGCCAGCAGAAACAAGAGTCAGTCATTTGATACTGATGGTCAAACAGTGTCTATAAGCAGATTATTGCTTCAAATACATTTCAATATCAATTTCATTTATGGAAACTCTGCTGTGTTGTGTATGTGTGTATATGGTTTGTTTGGAGGGCATTTGTAGGCGTGGCTACTTCTGTTTTGTTGAAGTGTAATGTTCCATATATTACATAAATTGTTATTTTGTTAGGGCTGAGCCATCTTTTTCTGTATCCCTGTTTGTCTGCCAGTTTAATTCTGGATTTGCTGTCACTCCTCAAATAATGACTGGGAACCGTCGAGCTGCCCCATCTGCACTGGGCAACCCCACTACCCCAACCCACTTGCCAAATGCGACAACCACCCCAGACCAAAAACAATCTGGAGGCCATAATCGCAACAAATTTATGAGTGAACTGCGCATCATCCACAGTGAGTTAGACACAATCGTCATGCTTCATGCCCATGGACAAATACAATGATGCCAATGTACTGTAATGTTGCAGGCATTAAAAACGGCATCTTGAAAGATATTTGGGTCACATATCCAAGCACCAGAGCCAGGTATAACCCTGGAAGTACTGTAAATGAGATAATAGTTTTGTCCAGTAATAGTAATGTAAGTAAAGTCCAATGTCAAGAGTTTTTAGTTTAAATCTTTTAAAGTTTTACTGATTCTTTGCTAGTACTACGCTGGAAATACTGGGATGAATGTACTGAACTGAATGCACCCTGGACATGCCCCAAAATTAAAAACGTTTTGAAGATTTACAGAAAGGTTGCTGATATCTTAGGTATACATTTTTTATTCTCTCCATAAAAAAATCTAGAAAGTATTATCTGTGTTCCTCTTGATAAGTTAACTTCAGGAAGTCAAAGATGCTGGGAATGTCTTGTTTTCAGGAATGTGTGACTGAACAAAGGTCACACTACATATGAATAGGCCAGATTAATATTTGCTTATATGGGACAGATTTTCTACTTTAGGTAGGTTAGGTTTAAAACATGCACATGGGACAGGTATCTCCCTGGAGGAAGTACATTATCTATTCTCTAGTGTGGGAGTTATTCCAGAGTTGAAGATGCATACTGCTTGCAATGCTATGTGCATGTATATTAGTGAATCAAAAGGTCATAAAAAATCTTGTATTAGAATATGCAACTTGATATCAGAGTCATATATTGCTTCAATGATGCTTCAGAACAAGCAGAATACATAGGAGATGGACAAATGATAACACCTTACAATATATTGTAATCCAGCCTAAAAATGACAACAGATGTTAATCAACACCTCTCGGACAAAAGCATTTATTACATGAGTACTGGATTGAATTGCATTGAATTTTCCAGTCTTACTGATATTTTTTTCACTCCCTGTATATGTGATCACACGTATTAAATTCAAGGATAACATTTTCGAACACTGTATTCAAGTGCCCGACTAAAGGTTTCTGTAAATGAATAATGTGTCATCTGTGTGTGTGTGTGTGGGTTTGCAGTGCCATCATGGGCTGTTGCTGCCCTTTGCATTGTGAGTTTGTGCGTGGTGCTTTCGTGTATCGTGTGTGTGTGGAAGAAGTGCTTGAAAAAGAAGGACAAGGACAAAGAAAAGGACAAGAAAAAGGGAAAAGAGAAGAGCAAGGGAGACTTTGACACTGAAATGGATGGAGGTTACAACAAGGTAGGCCTCACACACACACACACACACACACACACACAGCCCTGCAGATGTATTGTCCTTGCAATGTATCACAGTCCTGACATTGGGGTCACCCAGGAGTAGTAAAACTGTCAGTGTGTGTTAAGACTAATGAGTGTTTTGCACATTGCTCATGTTGTAGTAAAGGCTGAGGTCTGAGATGAACTGTTTTGAAGCGTTTCACTGTTTTCAGGTCACATTTAAACACACTGATGGTGTGAAATGTCCCCCGTCCCCTTAAACAATAAATACACTTTATATGGTAACATTATCTCTGTTTAATTGCCCCTGGCTGTGTAATGCTATACAATATACTGTAGGAACACAGCACAAATAGCTTCTCCACAAGTTGACAGGAGGTCCTCATTGATTGCTTGTAAAGCTATATATTACCTACATATGATGTGTGTCTCTGTGTGTGTGCAGCCGCTGAAAGATGAAGGTATCAAAGAAACAGAGCTGTCAGATAACGAGCCCAAGGAGGAAGAGAAGCTGGGCAGGCTACATTTTACATTAGACTACAACTTCACAAATAATACGGTGAGATGCTGTTATTCACAATGACATGTTTTTGCCCACCATCTGCCAACTCAAAAATGTCACAGTTTAATACTTTCCTTCTCTCTGTCAATTAGCCAGACTCTCATCTCTTATTACTTTCCTTTCCTTATCACACTCTAGCTGGTAGTAGGCATCTTGGAGGCTGCTGAACTTCCTGCGATGGACGTGGGAGGCAGTTCTGACCCGTACGTTAAACTCTATCTGCTCCCGGACAAAAAGAAAAAGTTTGAAACCAAAGTTCATCGGAAGACCCTCGAACCCAACTTTAATGAGACTTTCACATTTAAGGTAAATTTAAAATTCCAAGTTTAATAAAATGGGGTCTTCACTATGAGCACAAGGCACATGATATGTTTGATGTGTATTCTGTAGGTACTGTACACTGAACTGGGCGGGAAGACGCTGGTGATGACTGTGTACGACTTCGACCGTTTCTCAAAACACGATGCCATTGGAGCTGTGAAGATACCGATGAACAGTGTGGACTTCAGCCAGTCTCTGCAGGAGTGGAGGGATCTGCAGAAGGCAGAGAAGGAGGAGGTGGGAGCACACTGTGAGAGGGGGGAGAAAAAGCATGTATAAATTGAATAGGATGAAGCAAATCTTGCTATTGGATTTTACAAAAGTTGTTTAATTATTTGTTAATTTGTTTATTTCTGTTTAGAGAACAAGGTTACTTAACATTTGAGGTTTCCTTGAAGAAAACAGGAATACTGCACAGAAAAATCACAGTTTTTGAACCACCTCTCTAAAGAAGAGTGTAGCTTCTTGTGATAATGCTTCAGTAATATCTTCATGTAATTGTGAAGCCATACTTAAGTTATTAGACAATTCCTCAACAAGACCCACTTCTCTTTCTTTGTATTAGAGTGAGAAGCTTGGAGATGTATGTTTGTCCTTGAGGTATGTGCCTACTGCAGGAAAGCTGACCGTGGTGATATTAGAAGCCAAAAACCTGAAGAAAATGGATGTGGGTGGATTATCAGGTAAGTCAAGCAGCGGGAAAAAAATCGACTCACATGAGATTTAACTTTAAGATCCATGTCTAGTTCCTGTTAATAAAGGTCTGGAGTTTTTCAAGTTTTTAAAATAACTTAAACGCTTCAACTAATAAGAAATGTCTCAGTACTTTTTATAATGTCACTAGGTGCGCCCCAAATAGCTCCGGTTTGTTGCATTAATGCCTTATAATTACTTTTTAAGTGGTGTGTCCACTTCCAAGCAGTTTCTATTTGGGGAAAACTATCAGGAGCTACTACAATAGATGTTGTGTTTCACTGATGGAGTTACTGCAACACTGCCAGGCTGTTGGTCTGTTCCTCTGCCATAAAACCTCTCGGTTCTCTCTATCAGACCCTTATGTGAAGATCCACTTAATGCAGAATGGAAAAAGACTCAAGAAAAAGAAAACAACGATAAAGAAGAACACTTTGAACCCTTACTACAATGAGTCTTTCAGCTTTGAAGTGCCATGTGAACAGATAGAGGTACGTACATTTTTACACAGACACACACACACAAATACAATTTATCAGAAATTCTTTAATTCTCTTTATATGTGTGTGCATTTATAGAAGGTGCAGATAGCAGTGACTGTGTTGGACTATGATAAGATTGGGAAGAACGATGCCATCGGGAAGGTGCTGCTGGGTGCCAACAGCGCCGGGACTGAGCAATGCCATTGGTCGGACATGCTGGCGAACCCCCGGAGGCCAATAGCTCAGTGGCATAGCATCCAGCCAGAGGATGAAGTCAACGCACTAATTTCCAACAAGAAATGAAACTGTGACCTCAGTGGGCTATGACTCCTTGCAGCATTTACCTCAGCTACTTCCAATTGATGTTCCTATCTCTCCCATAATGCCCCTAAAAAACACTTTAAGCTACTTACTAAGTAAAATAATACCCTGTTTTACCCTTGACACTATCCAAGTCACTCCCACAGACTTTAAGCCTTCTTGCTTCAGTAATTCCCTCCTCCTGCTTCAACTAAACGGCTACAAAGAGTTTTAAACAAAGATGTATCACAATGTGCAGTGCTATTAAACCAGATGAGATTTTTTTCAAACCGTTGTATGTTTTTTCTTCTGTTCTGTGCTGTTCAACATGCACGGTACACTTGACATAAACATGATTAACCTGCAGAGGGAGACAATCCAAAGGATAATGAAATAACATCCTCATATGAATGCTTTTATGACTCTACATTACTTTTATGATATGATTGTTGCTTTTTGCTTGTGCAGTACATTGTTACCAGTTCCTTAGGTTGTAACATATGTACCCACTGCAACATCTTACAGTACAAATTATACTTATAAAAGCTGAGTAAGTACACTGATTATGGTGTTGGAGCACAGCCTAGAGCGAGAGAAATGCCAAGATAAATGTTTTGGCATCATAATTCATAGAAAGGTCTTTCTGCAGCATCACAGCCAAAGTGGCAGAACAGGTCAAACTCACAACAAGAATACGATCAAATACTTTGTGTTACAGAAGAATTAGGAAATAGGCTTTCATCACAACTGACATTTTGACTTGTGATACTAGGAAAAGCCCCAGTATTATTAATAATTATAGTAATAATAATTATGTTAATGGCTCAGTTTCATTTAAGTCTCCTAGTGCGACATCACAGTGTGACTGGAAGCCAGCATGCACAATACCAGGGCCCTGAAACTGAAGCAATTACATTAAATTCAGGCATTATTAATTTTATTATTTGCTCCAACTGTGACATGTCAAAATGTCTAGAGTGAAAACAACCCATTATAGTTTTAGTTTTCAATTATTTATCTGTTATATCTAATGTGATTCTTAGTTTATCTTACACAGGAAATCAGCAGTAAAGCATCACCCATCCTTTCTAATTTAATTGTAGTGTGTTGTCGCACTTCATAACATTTTCTTCTGTCTTTGATAAAGAAAAGAAATGCACAACTATTTTGTCCACCCCTGTACATAGGATGGAATAATAGGAGTTTATTCATCTATGTTAATACAGCTACTGTTAATAAAGAATAAAAAATACATAGGATGTTATATCGATTTGAATCGTCACATAATATGCATTCTTTACATTGCTACATGATGTACTTTCTCCTTATAACGTTATATAATATAACGTTACTGTCAATGGTAAAAACATAAAATGGGGCTTGCAGGCAGTTATAACGTTAACTTGGTTCGTGGTTGGTGTCCGTTGAAACCGTTTACAAGTTTCTGACAAACGTATCACAGGTTACAACTGTGTCTGTAGTCGGGGGGTTAGAGTCCCTGCCGCCTGTTTTAGCTCAATGCCACTGTTGTTTTGCTCTCCGCTTGTGTCTACGTCAAAAGTGTCCCACCCAGGTCATCTGTCAGCTAGATATTTACCGGTAGCCCTGGAGGTGAAAACCTCCGTGATGGAGCGACAGACCTTGCGGGCTCACACACACACACACACACACAAACACACACAGAGAGACCACAGAGGCGAATGAGTGGCTGGGGATGTTGGAGTGACAGAGAGCAGCGCAGGCTTACCTGCCCACACACAGGTGTAGGCTACTCGTCATCTGCTCAGGGGTGGGGGGTGGGGGGTGCTGTCGCCACCAGGTAGGGTTTTTTACAGGTACGACCAAGCATCGTCCGGGTGCTACCAGACATCCTGAATCCTTTCCTCCCGGGACCATTGAGATGCACCGTTAACGTTTCGGCGGGACTTCCTTTCGGACTCTGAGATGACCTTAAAGTGGACAGTGAAACGATTTCTTCTTATGTCGTTTTCAATCTCCCACTTGCTGTTACTTGAGGGTGAGTCTTACAGTTACAGTTTTACATCCCCAAAATGTTATAATAGTCTTGTAATGAAGTTTGCTACACTGCATGTTAAAAGTGAGTAACCCATCTTTCTGTTTATAACATCTGTCAGAGATAGTTTGCTTTTATAAAAATCATAAAGTTCTACAAAACTGCTCTCCCTCACTGCTCCTTTATATTGTTGTGTCCTGACATGGCATCCAACTTAATGTGAATTACTAAAAAGTTTCTGATACCGAACTACATTATTATTATACATTATTATAAGATGATCTCATAGCTGAGAACTGTTTAACAATTTAATATTAATTGTATAACTTTGTGTTTAGGAGCTCAGAGCCGACTTTCAGTGGCAGAAGGAAGACTACAGAGGTACGTTGAAGGAAGAAAATGTAATAAATTATTTTCTGTCAGTAATAATCTGGTTAACATAGAAGTATTATATTATTATGTAGAAAAAAAACAATCATCCCTGTGATTTTTCTCAGGTAATTCTCATACAATGTAATAGGCCAACTTTCTGTTTCTATCACTAGAGTGTGTGACAGAGATAGCATGTGTGTGTGTGTGTGTGTGTGTGTGCACTTGTGTGTCTGTGAGGGTTTAGTAAAGAGTAGTTTGGAGTCTGAATTCAAGTGGTGTAAAGTGCACTTAAGTCTCCCCTCTGACTGTTTCTTCCCACTAATGTGCATGTTTGTGTGTGTGCAGAAGGGCTAATGCACTTCGGAGGAAACGGGATCTCCTCGGGGAGGAGGTTGGTACACTACACCTAAGAGAACCAGAGGAGGTCAGGGCACCCACATGCGCACAACACGCTAACCGGCACAAAGCTGTCTTTGTAAAGAATGAGACACACTCACTAACACATACACTTTCTCCCACTCAACCTGACGCAACTTTCGACTTATAGCAGCAGGTACACTATAACGGTACAACACTGTGTCACTGAGCCTGAGAATTGTCCGAGGAACTGCCCTAAGTGTTTATTGTTTATTGTTTTCCAAGACATACAGGCCGCTGCTGTCAGAGGGTACTCTGTCACGCAGTATTTTACACAACTACACAGCCAGAGATGCCTCTTCAGGTAAATACGCTACTTATGAGACCCTAAATGCCTTCAAAGTAGCTTAAAACTATCATTACCCTTACAGACTCGGGTAAGTGAACTTGAGTTTGTCCGTTTCTACTCTTTCCCAGAATATTGCGGCTGCCTCAATGGTGGCTGGTGTCAGGAGGGCGGTGTGTGTGACTGTGCTCAGTTCCAGGCACTTGGAGACCGCTGCCAGATCAGTGAGTAATACACACTCACACCTACATGTCTTGCTTTGGTGTCAGCTCAGATTTGTGATAATCTCATTCACATGGCGAACCTTATTGTCGATTGACATTCCCGGCATGCAACGGAGTAGCTTGTTAGCATGCATACAACTTTTTTAATAACAGTGTACGGTTACACGCTCGGTTATACAGGAATGAGTGTGTGTATGATATTATTTGTGTGTGCACATCAGACTCTTTCATCATTCAACAAATGTTAATTACTGTACCTGCACACGGCAGTATTAATTATCAGATTTCCCCAGATCTCTCTATCTCTTTGCCTCTCTATCACTTTTTTTAATACAAATCCACCATCGTTCAATCAATCTACCCACCCACACACACACACATATATATACTTTACTCCGTACAGCAGCAGATATAAACTCACTTGCACTAAGGTAATAGGGTAAGGGCTGAGTGATGGAGGTTCTGGTTTCTATATTCTGAACAGACTCCTTATACAGTATATCAGGAGATCTGAGGTCACATTTATTGTAAAGACATTTTTCATTTCAACGAACTAATTTAGTGTTGACACACGTGTTGGAACCAAAATAGTTCCTGAGGGAAAGAGAAATAGTTCCTGAGGGACCTGAACTCAATTGAGGCTTGAAATTAAATTCTGAAATAGACTATTTAAAAAAAATCTAAATCAAGTAAACAAAGATAGTATGAAAGTGGGCCACAACAAGATTTCTCAAAAAAAAGTTTATATATATATATAAGCTTACAGTAATTAAAGATAAATTATCAAGCTTCCTAGCTGTAATGAATATTTTGAAGATCAGTGAAAAAGAGCGGATGCCACACAACAGATGTTATATAAAATATTTAATACGTTTGGGAAATTTTGTGAATTGAAACATGGGTAAACAATTTAATTTACAAAATACCGTTTTGGATTTCCATCAGCATGGCAAGCTACTCACTGATAAAATAAGAAGCTATTGGGGTGGTAAGTCACCTGGTACCAAGGCTGAGTCCTTGCATGGGTTCAAATCCAGCCCAGAAAAAACACATTAGAAGATATGACTCACTGTCACCAGCCCACATCGCCCTCAGATTTTGAGGAGGGTCAGCATCTAGTTGGCATAGCCAGCTTTGGGGAATTCCTGTAACAAAGGGCTTTTTAGAAAATTCAGGTATTCATTTTCCACTGATAAGTTCAATGAAATAAAAGATGATGAAAGATATAAAGATTATAAAAACAGATAGGATGTATTACTTGCCCTCTCAGTTTAGTAAAGTGTCCATTTCTGCTGAAATTATTACTATTATTTTTTTTTTAATTAATTAAACCACATGAAACCGATCCACTTCATCATTACTAGAATCTTGTCCGAGTGAATTGCTCATTTTCCTCTCAGTACCTAACCAGGGCCAGGATAGAGACGGCATCTGCAGGTCGTGGGGTCAGCACCACTACGAAACATTTGATGGAATCTATTTCTACTTCCCCGGTACCTGCTCTTACATTCTTGCCCAGGACTGCCACTCAGCAACGCCACAGTACACGGTGTGGGTAAGAGCACACAGATTGAAATTACTCACTGAAATATTTAACCAGTATTTAACCTTTGTGTATACAGGTTAGTTGGCTTTTTTACTATAACACCATGCGTACAGTCACACTTAAATACAGTGGTATTTAACCACTTAAACAAAAATACTTTAAGGAACAGGAGTTCGATTTGGGTTATATAACTGTAGGTTGCATGACAATTAAGCTGTAAATAT